AGAGGACCCTATTATAGTGCCATACAGTACCCTAGAAGGAACCCTTAAAGGAGCCGAGAAAGGTTCCCTTGAGGGCACCAGAAACGATCCTATAAGGGTTCCTACTGCGGGCACCATTATCAGAGGGCTTTAGGGTTTTAGGGCTTTGGGGCTTTAGGGCTTTAGGGCTGGCTGCTGTAGAAAGTGAGACGTACTACAAGGCTACCATACGGGTACCATGCAGGTGCGGGGTTTTAGGTTTACCTGGATCCTAGATGTATGTAATTAATTAGGACTGTTTGGATAACCTACTTTATGGTTGGGCTCTTTTAGTTCTGAAGAAATATGTCAACCAAAAATTCAAAAGGCATTACATGTTCCGATGTAGGAAGAGTTTACGTTAAGCTGCCATAGCCTACTTCTGTAGGTAGGCTATGATTATGAACCCTAATGCAGGACTGATAAGGACCCTACAAAGAAGCAGGTTTTGGTAGGGCTTAGGGTTTCTCTCAGGGTCCAGAAAACCAATAGTATATATTTTGGCCTTAAAGTAGTCCCCCTATATAGGTACTTTGGGGCAAAATTATATACTATTTGGGCACACGGACCCTTGAACCCTAAACCCCTTTGAACCCTTTAAGCAACCCTTAAAAGAACCCTTAAATGAGCCTTAAAGGAATCCTACATACGTACTATTTGGGTACGTGGACCCTTAGGGTTTGGGTTTCTTGCAGTGCTGCCGAACCCGAAGCAATGGTCTGTGCTCGCGGATTGCATGAACCTTTCAGCTTCGAAGGCATCGGAGTTGTTTTTTCCCACGATTCCCTACCTGCATGTGTTGAAGCAGCATGGCGAATTATTCAAGTTGTACGTGGACGTGAACGATCTCAGAAGGACAACTCCTCTTCCAGCCAAGATTCTGCCCGATGACGCCGTGGAGAACCAGCAGATCAGGTCATGGGCGGTGTTCCAAGCGCCACCGCTGCTGCTGATTTTCATCACTGCGGCATTGGGACAGATCCCTAAACCCTAAACCCTAAACCCTAAACCTGACGGTGATCCAGTCGTCAGAGTTCGAGAACTTCTCAGGGCGTGTATTCTGGCTGCTCCCGAGGACATCCAGAAGAAGCCATTTGGGTGGTTGTCAAAATTATGGTCCCTTTTTGGGTCCCTTTTTTCATACGGCACCTGAATACCCCAAATGGGACCCGATTTTTGACAACTACCCATATGGGGAGGTGTTGACGATATGTAACAAAGTGGCGAATACGTGCAAGCATATTGCCGCTGACAAACCCTAAACCCTAAACCCATATTACCCCTAAAACCCTGACAAAGTCACCGAGAACCCATACATCATCGATATACGGGTTCCCTTTAAAGGGATCTATAAGGGTTCCCTTTAGAGGGATCTATAAGGGTTCCCTTTAAAGGGATCCATAAGGGTTCCCTTTAAAGGGATCCATAAGGAGCTTGAACGTCACTTCGTCCTAGGACTTGCCTCCCCAGTACTTGGAGGATCATGGGACTTAGTAAGTAAGGTTATAAGTCCTTTAGGGTTTAGGGTTTAGGGTTTAGGGTTTAGGGTGTAAGGTTATAAGTCCCTTCATTGGGGTTATACGTATAGTTACCCTAATTATAACCCTACTTACTAAGTCCCATGATCCTTTAAGTAGCACCCTTCAATCATCGACCCCGACAGCTCGAAGACCCAAGCCCTGAAAGGCCAAAACACTGCATTTAGGGTTTAGGGGTTTAGGGATTTAGGGGTTTAGGGTGTTAGGGTTTTAGGGTTTAGGGTTTTAGGGGTTTCGGGTTTAGGGTTTAAAGGTAGAACAGTTGGAAAGCCCATAGAAGACTGTAAATTATGCACGTGTCAAGTATTGTCCCCTTGTGTAGCTCATGGATTGCCGCTGCTACTAGTGCTCTAACCAGTAAAAGGCGCCCGTGCAATTGCCATGGTATAGTCTGGTTAACACTTAACGGTATTATCAGTGCGTGTGAGATTTGAGTGGTATTCCCCAACTATAGGTTAT